TTCTTTTTATTACCTTGTTGAATTGTCTGCCAAGCAGAACCATGGCCTTCGATAGGCTTTCATTTGTATCCTTATCAGAATCATCATCTCTTCCTTCAATATTTGAAACAAGGGCTATACTATTTTTCTTGTCAGTTTTGTCACCAATTCCTACTTTAAAGGTCAGCAAAGACCCAATGAGTTCATCAACTCTCATCTTAAATATGTCTTGTGCCTCCTCTATGGCTGTTACTTTCATGTCAAATCTCTTGGGAAGAGATCTAAGAATTTTTCTTACCAGCTTTTCTTCAGACATTTTTTCATCAAGAGCACTAGAAGCATTGGCAATTTCTAGAATATTCATATGAAAGTCATGTATGCTTTCATCATCTCTCATTCTCAGATTCTCAAACTTAGTTGTAAGGAATTGAAGTCTAGACATTTTTACCTTAGATGTGCCTTCATGAGTAGTCTTTAGAATCTCCCATGCTTCCTTAGCAACAACGCAGTTGTTCACCAACCTGAAGATATTCCTATCAATACCATTGAACAAGGCATTCAAGGCTTTGGAGTTTCCCAGAGCAAGATCATTTTCTTCCTTTGTCCATTCTTCCTCAGGCTTTAGTTTAGTAGTAGCTCTTCCATCTTTATCCATAATCACAGGATATTCTCATCCTTTTAAGACAGCTTTCAATGCCTTGTTGTCTAGGGATTTTAAGAAGGCAACCATCCTAGGTTTCCAGTAGTCATAATTGTTCCCATCAAGAACAGGTGGTCTGTTCATAAATCCTCCCTCTTTGTCTATGGTACCAGAAAGTATCGTCCCTAAATCTCACCCAGAACCAGAGCAGGATGCCTGCTTTGATACCAATTGAAATTTTGGTATCAGATATTAGATGTTGAAAGAGATGTCCACGACACAAATATTTGTCTGTCAAGAACAAAGAAAACAACACAACAAATAACAGATAAAGAGACACATAAATTGTTAACCCAGTTCAGTGAAACACACCTACATCTAGGGGCTACCAAGCCAGGGAGGAAATCTACTATTAGTAAAATTAATTTAGAGCTAAACTCCCAGTCTACAACTCCTCACTTAATCTCTACCCAATGAAATTTCTGCCTAGAACCCATTAGACAAGAGACACCTCTCACTCCCCCTTAATCACAGCAGTGATAAACAATTCAATACTAAAGGAAAGACTTTAGAAGACACTCTTCAAAGTCACAACTTGATCTTGCTTACAAGCTTTGATCAAGTACAATACACTCTTGCTTAAAAGCTTTGAGTGAACAATCAACAATAAAAAAATTACAATTAACAACCTAATCCAATTCACACATAAGCTATGAGTGAATGGCTCACAAAACTAACACACAAGAAGCCCTAAACTCTAAACAGATGCACACGGTTTTTAATCCTTTCTTCTCCAATCTTCAAGCTAGGGTTTCAGCCTCTATAAATAGTAATGCAGTGCATTGCCTCTAATTTTGGATCGTTTTGCATCACAAAAAATCACTTAACATTATTAGATGCTAATCATGTGTAAACTTTGGCTTCAAGTTGAGAATTGAGTGAAAATGCAAAACTGATCATGACCAAATTTCAGTTCCATGGGGCCATGTTTAAACCATTGGGAAATCTTATACAATTGACCTTTAATGCTCATTCTTTTTGCAAAATGATCACATCATAGCAAAAAATAAAATGTGAAAAGAAAGGTTTCATTTGGATGCTTGGACAAAAAGTTATGAGCTTGCAAAGTTGGCACGATGACCTATAATCAGAGGTCAAGAAAATTCTAAGTCCAAAATGACCTATAATGTCTTCAAACTTTTCATGGCTTTCCAAACATAATTAGCCTTTGATCCTTGAAACAAACTTGTAGAGGGCATCAAATAGGATAGTTGGAAAAAAGAACCGCCCAAAAAAGTTGAAAATTGAGAGAGTTATGATCTTTAGAAGTTAGGAAAGTATCACTTGAATTTATGCCAAATTTCACTAAGTCCACAAAATGACCTATAATGTCTCCAAACTTTTGATGGCATTCTAAGCATAATTGGCTCTTGACTTGTAAAAGGAAGTTGTAGGGGAATTAAAGAAGAGTCATTTTCCTAAAGAAGCACTCAAATATGTTGAAGTATGAAGAAGTTAGGAAATTTTGAACTTGGACTTGAAATATTGACTTTTTGGTCAAACTTCCTTGAACAAACTTGCAACCTTGGACATTTTATTGCATTTCAAGGCACATTGATGATCATATGAACTTGAAATGATGTAATATTGAATTTCCCTTTGTGAAACTTGCAATGGATTGAGGAAACTTGTTGATGAAGCCATGGAAATAAACATACGAACCTTTGAAATTTCTTGAGAAACAAGCTATCAAACCTTGAAACATCCTTGATCAAATGGAGTTAAATAATTCTTGGGTCCCTATGCTTTGAGATTAGAGGTCATGCTTTGATGAATGACCTTTGAAAATAAATGGTTGACTACACTTTGGCTTGAGAAAGTCAAACCCTAGCTGAGGAAACAATCACTTGATGCTCTTGATTCCAAATCCTATCTTGCAAAAGAAACAAAAGGAACAAGACATATTTTTGTATTTTGATTTGGAGTTAGTGAATTAAAAAGCACATAAGTACAAAAACTGAAAGATACGTAAAGAGGTGCTTGATGATCTCTACAAAGGAAAACCCAAAGATAAGGGGGTTAAAAGACATCCAAGTTTGTGATCTTGATGTATTACAAAGATGTAAACGAGGTGGGATCTTAGGGGTAAAAATTAGGGTATGACAAGGATACAAATATTTGAGACACGCGACATTAAATTTGTTGAAGTCGACCCACATGTCCACTTGTTCGATGGTTTCCTTACCAAAACCACATTAGCCAACCACGAAGGGTATTTGATCTATGTTATAAAATTGATGCTTGTCGGCTTTTGGACTTCCTCGTCAATGATTGTTCTCTTTTATTCGCCAACCTCATGCTTCGTTTGAGACACTGACTTGACCAAGGGATCTATGGCAAGGAGATGACACATCACTCTAGTACTCATACTAGGTGTATCTAAGGGCGTCTAAGAAAACAGGTTAACGTTCCTCTTTAGAAAGGCAATCAAATCTTATTCATATTCACACAACGAGGTTTCTAGATTAGTGACTTGGTGAGGTTGGGGCTCGATATGAACCTTTTTCTAATCTTTGGTTGGGTAAAGCCTTTCACTTTCTGTCCCTAATTTGGGTCTCAACTTGCCATATCAGAGTAATCTATTTCATGGCGAGGGATAACAGTTAAGGTGAAGGGCTCTCTCGCTACTTCTAAGCTATTTAGGTAACATTCTTGAGCGACTTCCTGGTATTTCTTGACCTTCCCCATACGCCCATTAAGCTTAAGTGGCGTGGCGACATAACCACCTTTAGCAAATTAAAGGCGAGTCTCCCCAAGATGACGTTGTAGGGGGACATGGTGTCTACTATGAGATACTTTACTTCTATGAACCTGGTGCTCGCCCTTGAGCCTATTGTAGTTTCAAGGAGGATGTAGCCTTTGACCTATACTTGTTCGCCTGACAGACTAATAAGGGATCCTTGGAAAGATCCAATGTTATGGGGATCTATGGAGCCCTTGAAAGGTACTCCAAAACTAAATGTCTGCGAAGCTACCATGGTCGACTAACACGTGTTTCACAACCCAATTGATGTGCTGAATTGTGATAACCATGAGATCATGTTGCGGGAAAGCATGTCTATAATGTCTTCTCTCGAAGAGGTGATTTTAAGCTCCCATTCTCCCCCAAAGACGTTGAGGGTTTTTATTGGTGTGATGTTTGCTTCTAATACCTATCAGACATATCTTCTTTGGGAGGAACTAGATTCTTTCCCTCTAGCAAAATCACTGGAAATGATGTTAGCAGTCTTCTTGGAACTTAGCTCGAGCATTCTCATGAAAAGATGGTATGCGTGTGACCCAAGTCAGTTTTACTGGGCCCTACAGTGGACGCCAATTATATTGGATAACAGTATAATATACGTGACAAGTCTAATGGATAAGGGTTGTTAGTGACTTATAAGGTTGTTGGGTGATAATAGCTAGCTCGCGTGAGGTGAGAAGCTATTGCGTAAGTGTATTTCTCGGTGTTCTAGATTGTCCCCTTGAGTATCGTGGTACTCATGTATTTATAGCTCATAAGGGTCTCGAATCGAGTGAGTCAAGTCTTTTTAGAATATAACAACCTTCATAGAAATGAGCGGTTAATACCCAAAAATTCAGGAGATGTAGTTAATCCTTACAACTTCCTAAGTACCGACGACTGATCCAGTACACGCCCCACCCACATCGCACGTTATGGACAAAGAAATGAAATATCAGACGATAGATTCAGACAAACGACAATTAAACCAAACGAAAAACACTCAAACTAATAAAGGAGCAACTTAGGAAGGACGAAATACATCCTCTCGCCTTCGTCCAAAATCCTTTCTCAATTATACCACTATATAAATCATTTATAAAGAATACATAACTAACCCATGTTCTTTTAAAGAAAACAATTTACCATTATTAGTCTTTTAATGAAAACACATAAAATTTATCTTTAAATTTTCTATTTTATTCAAAAAGTTTAATGTTATTTTATTATTCCATGTTACCTAAATAATCAAAATGAAAAGAAAAGTAAAAGAATTAAAAACAGAGAGATATAAGTGGAGTTAAAGGTGCACTCTAGTTTAATTTAAGATATTTCCAAATTACAAAATCAATTTTAATTTTAGGTTTATTTTTTTAAAAAAGTTTTGGGCTTTCCGATAGTAGTTGTTTCGGTCAAGCCGAGCCGATCCGATGACGCGAGCCACTCACACACTGGGGGTTCCCCCAACAACACGCGCCCTTCCCCGGCGACCGTACTGTATTATCCCATTCTTTCGCCTTTGTTTTCCTTCCGCCGTTTCTCTTTCTATATCTCTTTCTCTCTCATCATTCTTCAACCCTAATTTCTCTTTTTTCTCCGATGCCGGACTTTCACGATTCCCTCTCTCCGCCGTCACGTCCCGTCCCTGTCCGTGAGGATTGCTGGTCTGAGGAAGCTTCTTCCACTTTGGTTGATGCTTGGGGTCGTCGTTACCTTGAACTCAACCGTGGTAATCTTCGGCAGAAAGATTGGCAGGATGTTGCCGATGCCGTTAACGCTCTTCATGGTCATACGAAGAAAACTCATCGCACCGATGTTCAGTGTAAGAACCGAATCGATACGATTAAGAAGAAGTATAAGATCGAGAAATCTAGGGTTTCGTCTTCTAATGGTGTTGCTTCTTCGTCTTGGCCTTTTTTCGAACGGTTAGATGCTTTGATTGGACCTAATTTCAATACGAAGAAAAGTTCTTCTTCGCCATCGCCGTCGCCGCCGGTTGCTCTAGCATTGGTTCCTCATCGGAAATTTCCTTCTTCCTCACCTGCTATTTCTGTGCCTCCGACTGCCGTTGCGCTTCCGCAGAAAAGGCCGCTTGCGGCGGTGATGGACGATGGTTATTTTAGGAGGAATTATTCCGCGGTAGCCGCTGCAGCGGCTGCCGCGGAGGCTGATGAAGACGAGGAGGAAGATGAAGAAGAGGAAGTTGAGGAGGAAGAGGTGGAGGTAGAGGAAGAAGAAGCTAGGGGAAGCGAAGTGGATGAAGGGGATAAAGGGAAGGAAGGGATGAAACGATTGGCGAAAGCTATAGAGAGATTTGGTGAAATGTATGAGAGAGTGGAGGGACAGAAACTGAGGCAGATGGTGGATTTGGAGAAACAAAGGATGCAGTTTGCTAAAGATATTGAAGTGCAGAGGATGCAGATGTTTATGGATACACAAGTTCAGCTGGAGAGAATCAAGCGTGGAAAACGATCCGGGTCTAATGGTGAGATAAAAAATTAATTTAAGTTTTTTAATTGTTATTTAGTTTCCTTTTTAGCTTGATTTGATGATTTGTTTACATAGCCTACTATCTTGTCTTTTGTTTTTCAATGAATGAATGATGTTAAGCATGAAAGTGTTTTTCTTCAATAGTTTTTTTGTGTGTTGATTTTGGATTCAAGGAGTGTAATGAATGCTTTTATTTGGTTGTTTCTTGTGGTTCTGCAATTAAATATACTAGCAAAAGTGGTACACTAGTACTATTATTTGAGAGTTCTTCATAGTATATGACGAGTCATTACTCTATGAACTTTGTTCTATTAAAAAAGTCTAGCTAGGCTATAAACTTCAAGGGTTTTGTTTTTTGAGTTTTGACGCTTAATAAGAAACAACTTTTTATTCTTTATGTTGTGGCACACATAAAAATGGTAGTTTTGATGCAAATCCGATTTGGCTTGCTTGTTGTTCATGATTGCATCAGTGTGATTTGGCCAGACTTATGCAAGTTTTTTGTTTTCAGATTAGATGATGTGATGTTGCGTTGTGTTGTGTACTTTTGCATTATACTAGTTTCTCCTGAGACTGCTGCCTTGTTTTGCCTATGCGTTTTTGTGTCCTATAAAAACCATTAACAATAAGGAAAATGCAGTTTTAAAGACACTGGTTAACGAATCAACCATAAAAGTTTTTTAATGGAAAGTGCATTAAATGTCGTGACTTACAATACTTTCTTACCTATGTCTCATTCCTTAACAAGTATTCCTAGCATGATCTTTTAAATAATAAACTCAAACAGAATGGATATCTTTGTTCTGTTGAATCTTTCATTTTTCAGTAAATTAAGCTCACTTTGAATCTTTTATGTGATTTTGCACATGGCTTAGTGTTGTAAAGACAGTTTTTTATGTATTTGCTATCATAAAGTGTAAAATAATTTTTTGGTTTAATATCATTTGAAATCTTTTCAGTGTGAAGTTTACAATGGACTGATTATTTTCAAGTTGTGTTTTTTTGCAACAGCAACTTGTTTCTGAGGCACCACTTTTTTTTTATTTTGTTGCGTTGTGTCTTATTGTTTTTATGCAAGTGTAGATTTTGACTTGATTTTGAATAACCTATCATACATTGAAGTGTTGTTCTTTTATGTATGGACATCTATTTTGAAATGTAGTTGTAAGTTTGATACGTTATGAAATCAAGGTTGAGTTGGTATTTGGTGGTCAAAATAGGTGTTTATAACCTATAAATATCCGTATTTCACAGTAACTTTTGCATACAAATGAGTCATAGGTCTGGTTAAGTTTTATTTGTTGTTCAATTCATATTAGTAGAGAGGCCTAGTTCAACTGGAAAATGCCAAATGCCAAATGCCGATATTGTTAGGCTAGACATTTTGTCCTGGTTTGAACTTGTGACCGTGCAGTTGTGTTCTTGAGTTTCTGCTGGTTATTGCCACTTCATCTACAGACCGAAAAAGAAGCATGTGTGGGACATTTGTGCTGTGTTTTGGCTTTCATAAATGTGATGCAGTTTTGATAACTTATTGTGTGGTGCTGCTATAAGTACAAAAGGACAAAGGCTTGTTTGAATAAACTGTTTGGCAGTTTTGGCTCCATTGTAAGGCAATCTAAATTGAGGTTTTACTTAGGACCGAGAAGTGGAGTCAAGGCTGTAACTTGCAAAGTTGTACCATAGATAGTAAGATCCTACCAAAAATATAAAAATAGATTTTAGTACAAAAATATGATAATTAATAAATAATAATTAAAAAAAAATTCAAGTAATAATGTAGATTAATATTTTATAGTTATCTTTATATTACTATTTTAATATTTATTTTATATTTAGTAATGATCATGAAAAGAACAAATGGTTCTTGAGGGAATAGGTCGAACATGAGTCATAGGTATGGATAAGTTTAGCTGGGTGATATAGAGGCAGAAAACAACATTCGACGAGCCATTGATGCTTGAACAAGAAGAGCAACCATCCGCAAGCAGCTAAAAGCTCGAGGGTGACATATAAGCTGCAATGCTAGAGGAATTGACAACAATTAGTTAGTCAGTTACAACTAATATAAACATTTATTTAACTAGCTTAACAGCTTGGAGTAGTTATACTCTAATAATCTCAACCTGGTGGAAGCGAAGAATTGCAGTGTGCTTGGGGAAAGCCTTGATCATGATATAAACACTCTGCTGATGGTGTGGCATATGAACAACATAGAGTTGTTTTTGAAGAACCTTTACTCAAACAAAGAAGTGGTCAAATTCCATGCAGGTTATGAGCTAATGCAATGGTGCTTATGTTTTTACAAAGAACTGTAGGAGAAGAGTATGGAACCACCAATTCAATTAGGAGGGACTACATCCATCGTAGCTCAGCAATAACAAGTGCCAGCCTTCTGTATTCTGCTTTGGCGCTTGATCTAGAGACAATAACAAGTGCCAGCCTTCTGTATTCTGCTTTGGCGCTTGATCTAGAGATGATTTGTTGCTTCTTTGCTCACCAAGATATAAAGTTATCTCCAACAAAAACACGGGCTAGAGGTAGTGTGCTTGTCTTTAAAGTCCGAACCCCAATTAGCATCACAATATACACTAAAGGGACGTTGGGAAGAAGTTAGTGGCTTTAGGTGTAAGACCCAAGGGATGGTACCTTTTAGATACCACAATATAGGGTTAACAACAAGCCAAAGGGTTTCAAGGGGTTGGGGCATGAATTAAATGGACATTGTTAGATTGGCAGAGACGGTGACAATGGTAGAATCGGGTACAACAATGTATCTGCACTGGGTAAGTAAAGGTGCCTCACACCACCCTAAGCACTGCCATGATGTCTCATGCCTCAGACTTTCTGCCGGCATACAGGGAGTTCGGATTTGCAACGGGGATGAATTTAAGTCATTATGATAGAAAGCTGTGAGGTGGTGACCCTTGATACTTGGATATTCAATAAAGTTTTTGGTTGATTTATTATCCTTTAATTAAAATGGTACTCTATACACTCAGTTCAATAAACATAATCATAATTCAGTGGCATGGCTTGGGTTAATGTATCCAACTACCATACATGTAGAATAGTATGACGTCTTTTGATCCATGTAGTCGATCTTACTCGGTGGAATAAAGCTTGATTGTTGTTGTTGTTGTTGTTGTGTGATATCTTTTCTTTTTCCAAGTGCTCAACCATGTGTTTTAAAAGGATAATTGTTTAGTGTGATGCCTGGTTTAGATGGTATGGGTGCCCTGTTGCGCAATTTTCTGAATAGTTACTTTAGTCTACTCATCAATCCAACTCAGTTGTGTTGGCATGAATTGCTAGTCCAGTCACACAGGAGAAGTTTCATTTTGTAAAATGCTAAACATGGAGGTAACTCACCAAATTGGAGTACAATTCCAACCATCCATGGTTAGCATTTAAAATCATATTTGCTACATTCCTTATTGACTCCGTCTGGTTACTGTGCAGTAAAACATTTCAATGTTGCAAGGATTTAGTTTTGTTGATGATAGAATAAAACCTCACTCAACTTAGATGTCTCTGCTTCTCCGAAACTATTTTGACAAACTTGTTCGTTGGTGCAGATATATATAATAGCTAGCCAAGTGGGCAATGGTTGGATGATGGCGCTTGGAACTCTGTCTTGCTTTGGTACATATCTGCAGCTGATACTGTCATGAGGGAATCTCTAAATAGAAATTTGTCGAGGAGTAATTTTGGATTCATTTAGCTAGCTTTTTATTTTGTTATTAGCCCTTATAAATTAATTCTGCAACTGTACTAAAAGCCTAATTCGGGCTCCCACATAGAATTTGCTCCAATGTATAACTCTTCTGTCTTTTTCTGTGTTTTTTTAATTATAAAAAATTAACTAGTTTAGTAGTTAGACTCGCACATTTAAGTGTGCAGAATCTAAAAATCTCTGGGTTTGAATCCATGTCCAATCATTTTTAATCACTAAAGCCATGGTTGTGGTTGTTGATTAGAACTTGTGATATTTTAGCCGATAAATTGAAATATATATTCAAAAAGTGAGTAGTTTAAAAATGTGATAATTGAAATAATTTAATTTATTAAGAGTAATAGTACAATTAGCCAAACAAGGCCTAGAATTAAGATAATTTGTTAATTATTTATATAATTTTATGAAATTGTATAAAACAATTTAATTTAGATTGTAGAAGATGTAATTTAATTAATAGTATATTGAAACATCTTATACATAGGCCATGTCATTCAAATTCCATCAAATTGCTCAATTTATGACACGGCAATTACTTGCGTCCATGCTAAGCATTCACACATTCATCTACTGTTACTATTCCAATTTGTGTTAATGTGTTTTTCAACGCTAATAGCTTCCAAGTTTGCCTCTTCCATTACATATCACACTTAAAATTAGGAAAACAATTTTTTCCCTCTCATCTTGCCAATCCAATTATTGAAAGCTTTAATTCAAACATTTTTTAACTATATGTCCAGTTCACATTGTATTGAATTTATAGATGTTTCATCATACCTATCTTCCATTCTTCATGATATTCCTTAGAAGTGTCTTTCTCTAGACCTTAGTTTTATATGTTGATTCTGTATTTGTTTTGACTTTCGTAAATAAAAAATATTAGAGGTTTCTGCTATAAAACTATACTTGTGGCTATGAAACCACTGATCATTAAATATCAATTCTAATGCATTTTGTAAACTTGTTGTGTCTCTCTTCCTAGCTGTTAATTTGTTAATTAGGTCATTATTACGTGTTCTTATCAAATAAGGTAACATTCCTCCATTTTTTTATATAAGTAAATTTTAGTTTTTTAAATTTATTGAATAATGTATTTGAATTATATAGATTATATATATTAATTATTTAAAAAATTTAAAAAATTAAAATTTATTTATTATAACACCTTGTATAATATATATTTAGAAAATATATTAAAATGTTAATTGGTACAAATACAACAAGAGTGTCTATCAACATTGTTATATGTATATGTCCAAAAAAATAATACAACAATGACACATGATATACAAGAATGCCAAATCAAAAACTAAGATCTATGTACAATATCCACATTGCACATAATCCACAGCGGAAGATCAGGATAATGAAAGTCTTCGAAACAACATCATAAAGCTCATCCTTGCCTTTAACTTGTAAAGAACCACATGAAAAACAACAATAATAGTGGGGTGAGATAATAATCTTAATGAGTTCCTCTATTCTATGGATCCACTCGATTTCTTAACTTGTATACATTCAATTTCGTTCTACTTGTATACATTCATAGAATAGAACAATGACTTAAGCATATAAGGGAAATTTTTGCTTCGTATGAAAAACACACAACACAAGTCCTCATAAACTCAACGAATCATTATTCAAAAATGCAAATTGTAACACAAGGGTGATTAGCCCAAAAATCGATCACAAAGATCTAATCAATCATCCGCCAGATGTGGTCGATGGAAAAACCAGACCCCTACTACACTGACTATACGATCTATTAAATATGGTCAATAGATACCAGACATCCATTGCATGGATTAACTACCAGATATTGTCAATGGAATCTAGACGTCCACGATGTAGAATACACTCATCATTAGACATGGTCAATGGACACCAGACCTCCACTACATGGGTCACACTCTCCATCAAATATGATCGATGGATACCAGACCTCCATTGAAAGGAATACACCAAGCCCATTCCACCAGATATGATCAATGGGTACCAGACATCCACTAGATGGATTTCATCATCCAATAGATATTGTCAACAAAGTCTAGACCTCCATTGCGTTGAATACGCTTACCAGAGTTACAACTATTTGTCTCAATGATTCATCTTTCCCGGTTACTACTCTATATAAGTCTGAACTCAGGACAAGCATAAATAGCGATTATTCCTGAATATGTGATTAGTTCATTAATCACATAGTGATTATTCTCATCAAACACCATGTAATTATATCACAATCACCATGAGTTAATATCACAAATACCATGTGATCCTATCACAATCATAATATCTCAATGTATTTCCATACAAGTCTTATCTAGGAATTTCGACGCCAAGATTTGTTTAAAGAATAATAAATAAAAATCAAGTGTTTCTTGAGTTGTTGTTGAATTCGACAAAAGCATGTGTAAGAATCCTAGTTGAAAAGTTCTTCATAAGAAGGACATACTGAGAAGACACTTAGAAATATTTTCTAAGTTTGGACAACAACTTCGACAGAGGGTGTATGTGACTCTCCTTTGACAGAAGTTTTGAAATTCAAAATACGGATAATAACTGTCTTTTGTCCTTATCTGTTTCTCAAAGAGGACGCATGAGGAGGTGTGGCAAAATAAAGACATGCAGAGCAAAAACATGTCATTTTTTGGAGGAGTATCCGTTGAAGACAGTTATTTTCGACATATACACATATATATTCAAACAGACAAAGACTTAAGTTTGAAAATCAATGAGCCTGGATTAATGGTCTATCCATCCCAAATGGTATGGACTAAGGGTTTATTGTACATGCATAACAAAGATTCTAAAAAAGTTCCCAAAGTCATCAGTCTGTCTTTCAGATATTATCAATTTCCCAAATACTCGGTAGTTAATAATATTCTCAAGAGAACCTCTTTTGAGTGTAGCATCACGTATAAACTATTTTGGGACTACTCCCTCATATTCATCGTACTACATCTTAAGAAGGTCCAAGTTGAGTTAAGGGTAACTAAAGGTTCCAAGTATCACAAGCTCTTAGGTCGAAAATAGTAAGTGGTTTCACAAATACTCGTTGAACAATACTATTCTTAAGATGCCCTCAACTGAGCGGTGATCTCTCAAGTCAGCTTGGTCTGAAATCAACTCCCTATAAGTCTTTTCGAATATATCACCTTCCTATCATAAGTGTACTCAAGTCCGGGTGTAGAACTTATCTCACCGCACGAAAGTAACAACCCAAAGAGGAAACACACATATATATATATATATATATATATATATATATATATATATATATATATATATATAGACACACACACACACACACACACACACACACACACACACACACACACACACACACACACACACACAACAACAACAACAAAAACACAAATAAGCAAGTTAGGGGAAACCCTCGAAAGCAAGTCCCCAGTGAAGTCGTCATTTCTGTCGCGGTGAGAATTGGATAACAAGCTATTGATTAACTTGAATCACAAATTATTTTTCACCACCGATCTTTAATTTATTCAAGGGAGGGGAAAAAATGAATAACCCATAAACATGCAATGCAAAAATAAAGTAAAAGGGAATCTAAGGTTCGGGGGTTGGTTATACATAGGGAATGTGCTAGCATCCTAAGTATCTGTAGTACTCTATAGGAACCTCTTGTTCTATTGTGTTATTTGTTATTTTGTCTTCTAAGGGTGAAAAAGAAAAAGGAGACCTAAGGTGTTATTCCTAAGTATGCTCGCCAAGAAGTCGCATCTTGTGCCTACGTATCCTGACGGGAGTGGAATCATAACATTCGTAGTTCCTCTAAAGGGATGAGGAACTCTTGACTGTGGCCAAGGTTTCAAGGGGGGAAGATTGTTGATTGATTCTAGGAGAAGAGACAAGTCGTCATCTTAAGGAGACTACTCGACTTAAATCACCACAAACATGTGGAAGATGGATCTTTGCTTCATATTAAAAGAAGGGCTCTAACTCGAATATAGAATCGGCGAGTATGCCACATACCTCTCTCAAGTGGAAAATAATCTACATCTTTCTCAACTATGTTATGGGGTAGGAGAATCATATCTCGACTACAAAGATGACTTATGTCTAATTCTCTCATGAGAAAAGAGAACTAATTGTAAGTTATCTATTAGTTGAAATGATAATCCTAAGGGAGACTTCCTAAGGGATAACAAGTTCTAGGATTACAAGAAATATATACAAGAAGATACAAAATTTAAAAAAAATGTAAATGACAAGAGTGTTAACAACAAGAGATCCTACTTCAGAACCAGACAGCAAGAAATTATTAATTAATTTAAATATAAATTTTTATATCAAATAATAATTATGACACAAATTTATTTACATTTTAATATAATTCAAATTAACTAATGAAAAACTAGAAATAAAAATACTAAAATAAATAATTAAAATATTTTTAGTATTTTCATCCTTATAAAAAGTAATTAAAACAATTTTCTTTTACATATTTCTATGCTAAATAAAGTAATTAAAAAATATTATTTTGTAGTCTTTTTAATATTACAAAATTAACTAGTAAATTAAAAAAATAAGGAAATCTTTTTGGTCTTTTCTAACATTATATAAATAATAAAAAATAAACTTGATTAATAGAAGTGACTAAGAATAATGATAACCGATATCCAAAAATCAATTAAATTTTCTTCTTTCTATTTTTCTTTCAAAAAGAAAAAGCCATATAGTATTGACTATAAAAAAATAATGAAAGAGAATCTGCTAATTATAATTAAGAGGTAATGGTGATAATAAAAAATTAACTATTTATTAATATTTGATACGTGACAGTATATGATATATAGTATTAAAATGTGTTATATGTAATATATAAATAA